GACGCAGGCGAGAGCTCTGTGTGCTGCGGGGCCCCGGTGTCCTCGCTGAGCACACCAGCTCAGCGTGCAGCTTGCCAGCAGTGCAGCATGGGTGACATTTCCTGCTGGCGGGGCAGCGGCGTTCAGCGTACAGCATCCCTATCCATGGGGTCTGGTTGAGCAGCAGCGCTTCCCGTGGAGGTGAAGTCACAGGTTCTAGGTACCGGCCCATGAGCTGGGGGCAATTGGGAAACAGAACCAAAATGTCAGATACAGAGCCAAATGCAGAGGTCATGGGCAGAAGACCCAAATACACAGGCATCTCAGTGGGAGCACAGGCTTCTGGCACCAGGAGGCTTCTGGGGAGCTGCAGATGGAGCTCCGCACTGGGACCTGACGCCCTGCTGTTGTAGGACATGGATTGCAAGACACTATTCATGTGGTTTTTATTGCCTATTTCATGACCATAAAACATTTATAGACTCTTGAGCTCACTTGCAAAATGAGTCCTTCCAGATCCTTTCTGTTTATAACATACTGCTTTCTCAACTGCAAATTCTACCCTCGTAGGAATGTTCAGGACTCTAACATTCATTTACTTAAAAAGACTCACATAGGTAATTGCCTTTGCCTTTACAGACTTGCTATGAGGAAGTCACCACAGACAACGTTTTCCCTTCAGTTGTTTTTAATTAGAACATGTTTGCAGTACATATTGACTCCATTCATTGTGGGGAGCTGGTATGTGTACAAAGCGCGCCTTACTCTCTTTTTCTCTCCTTTTTCCCCAGCCCTCCCCACCCTTCCATCACAGACTCCCCTTTCCATTTACTGAGGATCTGTCTCTCTGTTCTTGTTATCTTTGCTTTAGCACTTCAGCTCATTTATACTCTGGGTTTCTCATTTAAGCTTCTACGTCTGATTTATTTTACTTAACATTGTGGTCTCCAAGTACATGTGTTTTCCTTCAAGTGTCCCGAGATGATCCTTCTTTATGGCAGAGTAGCGCTCCATTGTGTGTAAATATCACATGTTCTTTATCCATTTAGCTGTTGATGGACAGAGCTACTATGAGTTGTGCTGCTCTAAACATGGGTATCTATTTTCAGTGACTGTGTAGCCAAAAGCCACCACCTCCCCGTGGCCTCATGCTTCACCCTCCCTTCCCATGACTCCTTCTGTCATGGCCTTTGTCCTGTTCAAAGGGAACTGCCCACCCATCTGCTTTTCAGGAAACGGAGAATGTGGCCCTGTGGTCTTTCTACCCCATCTGTTGTCTGCTCTCACTGGGACTTATGTCCTTTGAATGTCCTTTTGTCACCTTCAAAGTGGCCTTTAGAAAGGACAATCCAATCATGCTTTTCCATAGTGAGAAATTGCCTGTGGGTCTGTGCTTTCTGCAGAGACAAGTTTGTATCCCTCTGGGTGACAAACATGGTGGGCTCACCTGGGTGGCCCCCATCCTGGCTTGAGTCTTGCCCTCTAGTGGTTGTACATGCCATCTTGATCTCTAGAACATCACACCAAGACTTTGAGGTTCCAGGGCCTCTGGACTCAGCAGCCTCTACCTATGAGGCTCTTCCTAACCCTTGTAGGCCCAGCTCACCAGGAGAATCCTGTGTTCATGAAGAAATTAATGGGCCTGCACCCTGGAGGGCCTTCCTGATTGGCTGTCCCAGGGCACTCTCACCTGGTAGGGTCGGTGCTCCTTTGGTCAGACCTATGGCTCTGGCCTATGATGTGCTCCAGACTTTATCCATGCATGTATCTGCCTCACAGACTAGGCAGCCCTGCAGGCAGGCAGAGCGTCCCAGAGCCTTTGCAGCTCCATGTGGAGGGTCAGTATGCAGTAGGTGCAGGGAAGGTGGCTGGGCCGTAAGGATTTGTATGGAAACATAATTACTCCATCATGCCCCTGTTTTGAGAGTTTGCTTTTCGTATTTCAATATTGCAACAATATCGTAATGTGGTTCATTGGAGGAGATACTTTTCCACATCTTGCATCTTCGGTGAGCTAGATCTCAGAGTGTCATTATTGGGCACAAGAGGCAGGTGTTTTAAGGCCCTCCCTGTTTTCAAGTACCATGTGTGGATTCCATGTCTGTCTGTCTCCTTTTGTCCTCTGGGAATAGAAGTTATTGCACCTATATTTGCTCACTTGATAGGTAAAAGCAATTTTTCACTGTTGCTTTACTCAGCATTTCTTTGCTTGCTAAGAGGTCGAACGTTTTTCAAATGTTTCTTAGTCATTCTTCTATGAACTGTCTCAACAGCTTGTTACTCTATAGTCACACTCATCCCCTGGGGAGAAAGAGGACTTGCTGAGCTTTTCAAGTGCCTCGCTTGGGGATTGACTCAGGCAGGACCTGTCAGTGCTGCAGAGTGTGTGGCACTGACCTCAGGGAAGCTCTGGCTCTCTCAGGGCCCCACACTGCCTGTTTCCTTGTGGCCCTCCTATGGACATCTCCTGTATGTCTGAACACTGCAACTAACCTGTACTGAGCCCTTAGCATTCCTTAGTTGCCTCCTGGGTGGCATAGTCATGTTGTGAGTGGCCCACACTGGGGAGTAACAGCTGCCTGTTTTTGGTGTGCTGTGGGCTTTGGGATGCTCTTGGTCATGCTTCCTCCCATTCCTGAAAGATCATCATTTCTGGCTCTCCTACCCTTGGTTCAAGCCCTCTAAACCTCTCTGAGCTGAGTCCTGACCTCCATGGGCTCTGCTGAAACCCTGCTGCCCTGGGGTGTTAGAATCTGCTGTGATGAAGCCCACAGTCTCAGTCCCTTTAGGCCTGGCAATCAGAAGGCTGGTATGCCCGCCCCGCTGCTGTCTTCATCTGGGCACACCTGGCTCCCTGTTATCTAGCATGGGCCTTAGAGTCCAGACTTGAGTGGCAATCCTGCTCTACCACTTCCTAGCCTCAGGAAGCAAGTTACTAGCTCTCTCTTAGTCTTAGGTTTCCTCCTCTGTAAAGAGGGTATGGTATTCACCATAGAAGGGAAAGAGAGAACCAGTACACATGTTCCCACTGTGCCCACCCTGGACATGCTCTCCACCAGGGCTGAGTGCCACTGGCACCAATGTCATCATATGATGTCGCAACATTACGAGTGCCTCAAGCTCTGGGGTGAGACCCTACACAATTGCAGCCTCTACTCCCATCATCCACTCCTCTCCACCCATTCTTGCCTATCTCATGTGTAGAAAGTCATCAGGGTGTCGATTCCCACGGCTGGTGTTTTCAGTGAGCAAAGCCCTTGCCATGAACCAGATTCCACCAAAGGGGAAAGGAACTGTCTGAAGGACTAGTGCCCTCTGATGCTTGTCACTGTGAGGAGATGGTGCACAACCACACATGTGCACCACACACCTTACCACACACACAGACACCACAATACACTCCCTACATCACACATATTGCACGTATATACCCTGCACTCACTCACACATACACAAATGCAGACATTGCACATGTACTGTAAACACACAAATACCCTCTCATACCACATGCACCTTATACACATGCATACCACACACATTCACACATATGCAGATATCACAAACACACAACCACCGTCACATCACATACAACCCTTACACACCCTGTATGCTCCCACATGCCAACACCCAAACGTAGACCTCACATGCACGCATACACAGAGAGAAAACTGGAGCCCACTGGCACTGTGTAACCAGTCTTTTCTTCCTGGTTTTAGCAGGGAACAGATGGTCTGTGAATGTTTTTCCTTCTCAAAATATAAAATTGGCTTTGTGCAAAGCCTCATTAACTCAAAAGACCTATTGATTGAGTCCCGGTTTTTATGAATGCTATACTTAGTGGAATGGAGAGTTCCTCATCCCACTGGTCTCAGGTTGAAGACATGACCATGGTCATTTAGTCAGCCTTTTTATGAGAAAGGGAGGTGTCAAAGTGCAGGTCCTGTGTGGCTGCTACACATTCAGGTTCCAGGAAATAGGGTCTTATGGGAGACAGTACTATCAGGGCAAACTAAGCTGTGCAGAGATTAAAGGTTAAGAGTTACAGTCCACAGGGCAGAGCCTGATTTGGAGAGCCTGATTCTTTGAAGTTCCATTTGCTAAAAGATCATTTGAGGGACAAATCTTAAAGGCTGAAACAGAATAGGGTAATGTCAGCTAATGTTACCCAAAACCATGCTTCTGCCAGCTGGCTTTCCTGGGAATGCTTTGGGTTTTCTCCATGGACCACGCTCCTAGGCTTCCTGTCTGTCAGCTAAGCTTAGGTTTCTGAAGTGAAGTTCATTAACAAGTGCTAATGGGAAGGACTTGGGTCCCTGAGACTAATCACAATCCCATTAACTAAAGACAAACAGCCTCTCCCCACAGGAAAGGAGGGTTTGGGGTAGCTATGTGAGAGCCACAGAAATGGCATGACTTTATGTGTGTCTGTCTTCTTCTTTGTCACCCCCACTGCAGGCCAGGGGAAGGTTATACAAACAGCCAGTTTGAATCCTGCCCACCAGGCCCCATCTAAGCCTCTCAGTTGGAGTCAGAGACTGTCATGCTCTGAAAACGAGCTGTTTGCACCCAAGGCGCAGGATGCAGTAGGAGGCCTGCTAAGCATGTCACTGGAGAACTGCAGCGCTGATGGCAAGAAGGAGAGCAGGGTGGAAGCAGTCAGGAGCAGGTGGGTTTCTTGTTTTCTGACCCTGATTTCCTCTGTTACCCAGAGCTTGGTGTGCTGGGCCATCTGCACTTGAACAAGCTGTTTAAACGATGTTAGACATTCCAGGAAAGTGGACATTCATTGGGTCTCTGCCACTCAAGTCCAGAGATAACAGAAGGCTGATTATGGGCTGGGTTGAGTCAAACTCTGTAGGGACAACTTTACCCTCCTACCATGTTGCTTTTTCCTGGTAAAGAAACAACTAGGTGATGACATACAACAGAAAAGGACAACGTGAACAAGTTATAAGCCCATTCAGCTTTGTCATAAGCCAGATAGTGTTCTAGCCACTAGTACACATCAACTAATTTGATTTTTTACCACTTCTTTGTTTTAGGAGACAAAATGCTTGACACTCAAAGTTAAGGGAGAAAAGGTTTATCTAGTTCACAATTTGTAGAGGTTTCTGTCCATAATGGGCTGGCTCCAAGGTGGGGTGGCACGGTGGACAGGCATGGCAGAAGAGAGATAGTTCATGGCAGGAGGAAAGTGTGACTGCAAGTAAGCCACAATGACAATAGCAGCTTCTTTCTGCCCTTTTGTAGTCTCTCTAGTCTATTCAGCTTGGGGTGATGCAGACAATCAGTGGGTTAGTAATCACGCGCTCTCTATCCTGGTATCACACACCTAGATCCAGTCGCCTCAAGACTGCATGAGGCTTTGGGAGAACATCTAGCACAAATCGTAACACCTGGGAAATATTTCCATCTTTCTCCCCAACTTGCAGGAGGGGACAATGAGGGGCCAGGACTCCAAGACACTCAAACAAACCTTTGCCTTGAAACTGTGCTTGCTTTCTTCTTTGTGGGTAGCTTTTCCTTCACACCTGCATGTGAAAATAGTTTATAAATGCAATTTTCCATTGTAAAACATGATCCATACATTTTAAAATAGCCTAGAAATTGGATTACATTTACATTGAAAGTTATATAAACAGCACAGACTCCCAGGCAGAACATGGCCAGGGAGGGTTGCTGCTGCAGGAGCTGGGATGGATTGTACATTTGCTTCAGTAACAGGGTGTCCATGATCCATTTGAACTGAAATTCATGTGTATATGTGTATTGTATGTATGATGAGGATAATTCTTAGGAAACTTCACCCAAATTTTCTTAGTGCGCATGTACACCGCAATGCACAGAAAGTCAATCAACAACAGGGAACAAGCCCTGTGCATCTCTTGCTGTATCTTAAAGTGTACGGTGTCATACAACAATGTGTCGCTCTCCTAATCACTGAGACTGAATCTCTGACACCTCATGGTCAACTTATAGCAGCCAGGAATCAGAGAACATGGACAGATGAGCTGGGAAGGGAGCCAAGCCCTTCCAGGCCACTCCCCCTGTGGCCTGCCTCTTTCAACCAGGCCACACCTCCTAGCAGCAGCTGCAACTATAAAGTCACCAGTGGACCAATCAGTACATGATGCCATCACCACCTGCAAAGTCCCGCCTATGACCACATGAGACTTTAGTGGGATATCCAAAAATAAAACCTCAGGTCAGGTTTTTCTTCCTGGGATCAGATACCCAAGATAAGTGACTTAAGGAAGGAAAGGTTTATTTTGGCTCACAAGTCCAAAAAATTCAGTTGGTGGTCAGCTGGCTCCATTGTTACTGGGCTGTGTTGAGGCAGGAGGGCATGGTGAGAGGGCATGGAAGGGGAGAACCGCTCATCTCCTGGCAGCTGGGAAGTAGAGGGTGAGAAAAAGAGCTGGAGATGCAGGGCCTGGGACAAGCTGTGCCTTGCCACAGCGTGACCCCAGTAACCTACTTCCTCCAAGTGCACCCCACTGCCTACTGTGAGCTCATCAGCAGGCCAGTCTGCTGGCAAGGTCAGTACCCTCATGACACAGGCCCCACCTCTATGCCTTAAGGATCAAGCCCCCAAAGGGTTAAACTTTGGGGGTCATTTCAGATCCAAAACAAAACAAACAACAATCTTATCATTATTGCATTTCATAACTATCTGGGCTGAAAAGTCACACAGGCTTCTTCTGCTTCTTGTGGTATTAGACAGGATCATGATGGTCTTCATGAGTGCTGGGTGCCGGGTGGGTTTGGAAGGTCTGAGATACCTGTCCTCCTGTGCCCAGCCCCTCACCAGAAAGAATAGTCAGACATCATCTCCGTGCCAGCCCTGAGCCAGGTGCAGGATTCAGCAAGAAGTAGGACAGGCATAGGCTCAGGGTGCCCATGGGCAGCAGAGGTGACCTCATAGCACGGTGTAGGAAAGACCGTGGTGTGCTGGGGGGTTGGCCCTTGGGGCAGGTGACCAGACAGGGCTGCAGCTGGGATGGGAAGGGTAGGGTAGCCTCCTCATCTGCAGGTCTCTGTGGCCAGCACCACTGCTTACTCGGGATCTCTCAAAAGAGAGGCCAATAGATGTATAGCCCCTGCCCCTGCAGGTTTAGCCACTATTTTATGTCACTGTTTTCGGAAGACTTTTTGACCTTCCAGTAGAGGGCTGGCTCCTCCACACACTGGCTGCATTCGAGCAGCGCTGTGTCCCCACTGTGCCAGTAGCTACTTGCTTTCATCCCCCTGCTCTGCTCAGCACCAAAGATCCCAAGGAAGCAGCAGACCTGCTGTCTTTCCAGTTCTGAGGCTGAGTGTGGAGGTTTCTGTGAAATGGTCTTTTTAAAGAGGATTTCATTAAAGGAAATTTTGAACTGTGGTAAAATACCCAAACCATAATGTGTTCCATCATGGCCACTTGGGAGCATCCATTCAGTGGCCTTCAGTGCATGCACCTTGCTGTATGACTGTCCCCCCGTGTGGCCGCATGGCCCTTGCCATCGTCCGAGTTGTAGCTCTGCCCCATGCAGCACCTCCTCCCTGTTCTGCCTTTGCCCAGCCCCAATGGCAGCTGTTCTATTTCCTGTCTGCATGTGTGACTACTGGAGGCTCCTCATGTTGTGAGCCTGCATAGCCTTTGCGCTTTGGTGACCTGAAGTCAGTGACCTTTAAACAACTATGGGTGCTTGTGAGCCACAGATCACCTGGGCAGAGAAGCCCTTCCTTCCCACCCAGCTCCTCTTGCCATCCATCCCTCTGAGCAGTGCCAGGCTCCCTGCCAGGAGATCTTGGTATCGCTGCTCCAGGGTGTGACAAGGAATCCATGGACCCCAGACGAGCATCCTCTACCATGGTCCAGCTACCTCGCCTGTGCGTGGATGTTGGGGACAGTCTGAGTGACAGTCTGCTCAGGTGGTTGGCCCTCCAGCTGGATGGCAAGCCTCTGGGTACCCACAGTTTATGGCTGTTCTCTGACGGTATCTTATCATTGTACAGAGCTGGCTTAGGACAAGGCAGGCCTCTGACTAGAACCTTCATTCTCCAAATGCCTGGAACAATCTTTGCTAGCATATTGTGTGTATCAGTCTGCTTTCCGTTGCTCTAGTGAAATAATGCAGGCTGAGTACTTCACTTAAAAAAGGATTTACTTAGCTCACTGTTCTGTAGGCTAACAGTCTAAATAGCCTAGTTCTGGCTCTAGGTAGGGGGCATTTTTCACAGCACAGAGCATCATAATAACAGGGAATGGAGGAGGATAGATCTCATGGTGAGCCATGAATCTATAGACAGAGGTGAGGAACTGACTGGATCTTTGAGAACTGCGTGCTCTCTCCTGAGGCCATGTCCTCCACCACCTCTAGGCCCCACCCCTTAGAGGTTCCACTACCTCCCCAAACCACCATGCTGAGACCAGTCTTCTAACACATGAAGCCCTGGGGGACAAATACCTCCAAACCTCAGCACATGCAGCAGAGCTGGGGGAGCCCACAGGAGCACTTCCTGATTTCAGTGTGTGGGATCGGGACCTCCAGCTCGGATGGCTGCCATGATTGCATAGGCAAATGCCTGTGTGCACTCCTCAGAGAGACACATGGAGGACAGTGGGGTGCAGCAAGCCCTGAAAAGTTCTTTCAGCCAATTGCAAGGGCAAACCACAAAGCATCAGGACCCAGGATGGAGCCTGGTAGGGAGTGCCGGCACTTATACTTACTACCTGGTTTTGGTGCCATGATTCCTGGTTTCCTGGGAAGACCATTCCTATTGCATGATGGAGTGAGTGGAGTGTTTGGCAGTCACATATCCTATGCAAAGGCGGAGAGCAGGAGGTTCTTATGAAGTCTGTGTGCTTTCACAGGAGAAAGAGCTTTCTTCTGACAGCCCAGTGAGGTTTCTGTGTGGCCTGCCCATGGATCTCACTCAAACCTGGCTTCCCAGGCTGCCAACCATACCCAGAAACACCAGGTGAGTTGCCTTTGACAGATGCCTCATCTCACAGTGTCCTTTTCCCTGTAGCCCCTGCACTGGCCAGGAGCACCAGGACGGTGCCTGTTTGATCCAGAAGCCAACGACCTGTGACCTTCTCTTGGGGCCACTTGTTCAGAGCATGTGCCCAGGTAAGGACCAGGCCATGGCCAGGTTGGGGCAATGGAAGAAGTATTTGTGTGGTTGTTTCAATTTTTTTTTTTCTTTTTTGTGGAACTAGGGAATGAATTCAGGCCCTTGCACTTGCCAGGGAAGTGCTTATTCTACTGAGCCTTCTCCCCGGCCCCTTGTTTCAATCTTTTGTCACCACTTCCTTTTCCTTCTCAATATTCACAATCTTTTTCTTTTGCTTACACTATTCCCCAAACTGCTAGTGTATGAGAAGAACTTTTCCAGTCCATGTCTGGCTTTGGTTGGGTGGATGGATCAGTTTTAGTGAAGCACTTTCTTGCACTCTGGTCCAGCCTGAGGAGCAGGACCACAATGGAGTGGTGTGTTCTGAAAAATGTGCCAAGGTCCTGCTTTTGATCCTTTTCTTCAGTCTCCAGAATGCACACAGGGCAGGTAGAACTGCATCTGCAATTGCCCAGCTGGACACAGGCAGAGTCCACGCCTGTGGGGAATTTTTATGCATGAAGCCTGAGGGCTGGATCTGGAATAGCACCACGTCTCTCTCCTTTGTTGACTCTGCCAGGCTCCTCTGTGCTTGCTAGGGAAGGCAAAGATGTGGGACAATTGTGGCAGTGGGTCGCCACTCAGGGTTCCTGTGTGACACTCACTGGGGCATACAACCTGTGGCTACAGCTGGCAGGGAATGACCATAGGGCTCTGCTATGGGTCTCTTTCAAGACCCATGCTAGGAAAGTGTTCTTGGGGACTGGAGCAGGGCTACTGTCACCCTCTGGCTGTTAGAGGCCCGTGCTAGCCAACTTTTCATTACTCTGATAGATACCTGAGGTATCAACTCAGAGATAGACCAACTTACACATACTGCACTCATGGTCTCAGAGGTTTCTATCCATGGTTGCTTGGCCTTATTGCTTTGGGCCTACAGTGGCATAAAATATCACAGTGGAGGAGACCTTCTTCACCTCACTGTGTCCAGGAAGAAAAGAGAGGAAGAAAAAAAATGGCCAGAGACCCCATATCCCCTCTAAGGGTACTTCCCCCAGTGGCCTAGCTTCCTCCCACTCTGTGCAACCTCCTAGAGATTCCCTCACCTCCCAGGAGTCCACAGGCTGGGGACTAAACCTGCACCACATGGGTCCTGGGGGAAGCTCCCACCCCAAATGTAGCCAGGCCCAGGAGGGGATGGTTGTGCTGCTTCACTGCTGAGCTTTTGTTTTAGTTATCACTGCCTCCAAGTAGGTCACAAGGCAGGAAAAATAAGCTAGAGGACATCACATAGAAACAGATCCATGTCCCAGCCCTGGCTCTGCTCTCACAGCTGAACATGACCACCCTGACCTGGGAGGCCTGGTGATCCCCTCCCAGTGTGGTGGGAGAGTAAATGGGAAAGACTTTTGCTCCCATTGTGTGTGTGTGTGTGTGTGTGTGTGTGTGTGTGTGTGTGTGTGTGAAATCTGGTCTCCTTTTCTTGGGGAGGTGATGTAACACAGCAGTTGTGTGGTTTCCCCCTTCAGGGTCACAGAAGAACAAGAGAGAGAGTTTGATCCCTGACCTGCACTGGGAGCTTGTGCATGTGGTGCTGAAGCGAGATCCACATCGTGGCTTTGGTAGGAGCCCCTGTGGGGGAGCCCCACCTCGTGCAGCTGACAGAGGGACAGCTGCATGTAGATCTCTCCTCCTCTGACCCTTTTGCCCTCCTTCTCCTGCCTCTCCTCTTGCAGTTTGCCTCTGCCAGGGATCACTTTGGCCTTTTCCTACCTTAAAGAATTCCTGAAGAGCAATGCAACTTTGGGGCTAAAGATCTCCTTGTATGAAGGGAATTTAAGGTGTATCTAAGCACAGGACATTAAAAGATTTACCCTAATGCTGTGCCACAGCCTTCTTAGATTCTCAGTGGTGGGGAGGAACAGCCAATCTTTCTTGCATGTTGTTATTGTTCTTATTTTAAGACCCTTAAAGCCGTATAGAATAAGGGTTGGATACACAGTGCTCAATTAGAAATCAACTCTGTCCTGTCTCTGGTTGTCTGCTGGAGCAAATCCAGGGCATACTGGTAGACTGTTTCCAGCTTCAGCTGCAATAGCTGAAAAGAGAAAGCCCTTTTCTCTTCCCCAAATGCTACACCCAGGTCCGAATGTCAGCTGTGCCACTTGCTAGCTGTGTGAGTCCAAGCAAATAGCCTAAGTCTCTGAGCTACAAAGTCATTAAAATATCATCTTGGCCCACAGGTTTTGTCATTAATGAGGGAGAAGATGTAGGCCAAGTGAGCCCTGGCATTTTTATATCTTCTGTTATACCTGGAGGACCAGCAGCAAAAACTAAGAAGATCAAACCAGGTATGTCTTTGATTTTTTTTTTAATAGTTTTACTCAGAAACAAATAGCAATGAGACAGTTTCAAAACCGATTAGTAGGACAGTTTCAATGATTAATATACTGTATATTGTTGTCTTCTTAGTGGTTATTCATAGTAGAAGATATGTCCACAAACACTATTAGAATAAATCTTTCTATTCATTGCATTAAGAGAAAGTAGCTGTATATCTATCCTAATTTGAATATGCAGATACAAAATAGTCGTTCATTTGTATCCCCTTTTCTTGTTTGGTTTTGTCAGAGAAGGGTATTCCATTATCATTTAAATATTGTAGGTGCATATATTCAGCAAAATATTCCAATGCGGTCCAGTAGTCCATAATAGTAGTGGGTTTTCCACAGGACTGGCAATGTCAGAAGTTGTTGATTTGAGCCTTTTACAGCTCAGCATATTAATGTGGCTTTACTTTCTTACTTCGTTTTTATATTTTTCTGCTGGATGGTTAAGACCAAGATAAAGCAAGACCTATATAACAAGAAATGTAACTTTTGTATCTGACAAGGTCAGTCAAATTCCCTCAGGATTTATCCTGAAACCCTGTACCACAATCTATAGATCCTTTGTCAGTGTCGGCCATGGGAATGAGTCACGGCCATTGCTTGACTAATTTGCTCTCTGTGAAAGCCTGAGAGAATGTTTTCTCTCCATGTGACTCTGCCTAGGCACACTCTACATCACTAGTCACATTCCTCTGTGGCCCCATAATCTTCTCGATCAGAAAATTTGGAACACTACTGAGTTACATGACGTTACAGTACAAGTTCTCATATGTCCTGAGTCCTCACTGACCTTGAAAGGCTAGGGCCAAAATGTTGGCCATCCTTGCAGCTCTTCTTTTTCTCTAATTTTTGGTCTGCAAACTTAGTTTGTTAACCCGCCAGAAGAGAAGCTTATCATTATTACCCTACAACATAGGCAGTTGAGCTTAACCTCACTATCTGTCTAAATATCAAACATCTTAGATATAACATGGAACAGGTATTTTCCATCAACTATTGATGTGTTAAACTTTAAGTCCCTACAGAATATGAAGAAAAAATTTAAAAAAATATTTTAAACAATAGGAATAAACAAATCCATATTTTTACACAGAAATTTAGAAATCTAACCATATGGAGCATTGTAGCAGGACGGTATGTCTTTGATGAATGGGCCTGAGCTGCTGTTTTCAGAGTGCACACATTCCTTGTCCTTGATGGGCCTTCTGAGATGTTTTCTCTTCTCAGGAGGGCAGATCCTTGCCTTGAACCACATCAGCCTGGAGGGCTTCACATTCACCATGGCAGTCAGGATGATTCAGAATTCTCCTGATCACATAGAGCTCACCATTTCTCAGGCCAAAGGTAGGTGTCCACCCACTTTCAGAGACGAAGGCTTCTTCTTCTGGGAGGTGCTGAATGCTGAAGGCTAGGGGGCCTTTGTGCTGCTGTCCTGGTGGTGGTGGCCTGCAGAGAGCCAGCGTGGTGGTACATCTCAGGGAGCTCTGTGATTTGGGGGCCAGCGCAGGCCCTGCCTTTGCTGCTCTTACGAAAAGGAGGCCATCACTGCTTCCTTAGCACCCTGTGTTCTCTAACCTCTTCTCACGGAGAGGGAGGCTATGCCTGTGTCTCTCCAGGGCTTGTTGAAAGTATCTGTCCTAAGGCTTCTACATGCCTTCTAGCAGGTAGACGGCGCTGCCCCAGAGGTCACCCTATGGCTCTCTTAGCACTGGTCTCAGGGTCACTGTCTCTGCTCTCTGTTGTAGGTCACGACATTGCCACTTCTTCCCGAGGCAGTTCAGCTATCCTTGAATTTTCTTCCTTACTCTAGAGAAAGACACTCAGGCTTTCCCTTTTGCTGTCAAGAAACATAATGCAGATGATTAAATCTCAATCCGGGTTATCCAAGGATTGTTTGCTATGCTGGAGGGTGTGTGTGTGTGTGTGTGTGTGTGTGTGTGTGTGTGTGTATGCACACATGTATAATATTGATACCCAAAGTCTGCAATGTCTAAACCACAGCCTCACAATAGAATACAGGCAATGGGTCCTTTAGTATGGTGGTTAAGATCTCAAATGTCCCCCAAAAATCACACATGGAAAGTGACTGGATTGTGAGGGTGCTGTGCTCATTCATCTGTGCATGACCTCATAGCTGAATGTGCTGCCAAGAGGTGGGGCCTGGCAGGAAGTGGTCATTAGGGACCTAGCTTGGAAGGGTGCACACTCGTCCTCACCCATCCCCTTCTCACTCTCTCACTTCCTGGCTGCCACGTGGTGAGCAGCTTCTTCCGCCAGCCCCTTCCACAGCTGCTTTGGCCTTGCAGCCTCCTAACTGTGGCTGATCCCCTGTGCCACAGTAAACTTCTCCTGTAAGTTGTGGGTGTCAGGTATTGGGTCTCTGTGATGGAAGAATGGCTAGGATGCCCCAGTGTTTAAGAATTATATGTCTTCTCACTGCAGGGCCCTAGCCACCTATTGGGAATGTAGCCTTTGTTACAATTAGGGTTCCTTCTGCCGTGGGCCTCCTGATAGAGGAAGTGGGTTCCATAGTGACTCTGGTGGGATCCTGTGGGCACAGACCTGACCACTACACATTTCTGTGTGTTCAGACTGCTGTTGCACCACCAGTGCAGCTACAGGTAGGTGGTATGCCGTCATGAACAGTGTCATGGTCTACAGTAAAGTGACCATGCTTATGCTTTTTTCAGTACTGGGGTTAAAACCCAGGGGTATCCTGCCGCTAGACTAAGTCCCTATCCTTTTTGAGTTTGAGAAGGGGTTTCCTTAAGTTGCCTGGGCTGTCTTTAAACTTGAGGTCCTTTTGCCAAGTGCCTGACATTACAGGTGTGAACTACTATGCTGGCATAAATTGAATTTTGGTCACCCATAGGAGGTCACCTAGCCCTTGCTTCCATCAGGCAGGACACCGTGGCACAGCTTGACTTTTTCAGTTCAGTCGTAAGTTTTATCCTTGTCTCTTGTAAAGGTAGTGGAAGAAGCGGAACAGATGCTTACAATATTGTCAGAAGGACAATGACTGTAGATTCTCAGAGAAATGGCCAGGATTCTAGCATTTCTGTTTGTTACTGGATCCCTTTAGGTTTGAATAAGTCAAAGCCAAATCCATTAAATCAAATTCATTCAAATCAAATTCATTCAGTATGTGAGTTTGGGGATTTCCTTGGGTGCTGATGAGTCTGTATCAAAGTAGAGAATCTACCTGTACATTTATATATTCAGGTCTAAAGAAACCCAAACTCTTATGCCTTCCTTCTATATATGTTTGTTGAGCAGTTGTTATTAACACATTAATAGTAAATACCATATTTTATGTGTGCATATGATTGTATATGTGTTATATATATACACACACATATCCACACATATTTATATCTTTCTCTCTACATATATAAAACTTCTCTGTCTCTATAAATAATCCTGAAGTCTCACTAATCCTACAATATTATTGGTAATGGTGTTATCCCTATTTTAGATATAAGGATAGTGTCCAAGTTTTTACCCATGTATTCCCTACTTCCTGTTCCTCTCTCCATTCTCTACTGGGTCCAGGCTTATAGAGCTCTGAAAGACTTGGTGACCCAGCCTCCACCCGTGCATACCACTGTCTGGCTGTCCCCAAGCCCCTCGAGGCCTCTGCATGGTGGTCTCTGGGTCACACGCTGATTATAGCTATGCACAGTGGAGTCTCCAGGAGAGGTCAGGGCTATGAGCAGTGCTATGTGTTGGTCATAGGTTGGAGACAGGATACTTTGTCCTTGAGACAGCTTTCTCCTTTCTGGGATGGGATGACACTTTCCTGGCATCTTTTGGGAAAGCACACAAAGGCCCCTCTTCCCTCTCTGTCTCTTTCTCCCCTCATCATGTGACAGTGCTCACTGCGGGCACCTGGCATTATTCACTCTCCTTATTCCCATGGTTTAATAGTTGGTCACACAAGAGGCCTCCGTTTCTGCTTCTGAATTGCATGTAGGACTTTCCCTTTCTCTATTCTAAATGCAGCATAATTCATGAGGTTCTCAGTTCACATAACTCCCCACACCTGTGAAAGGACTCTCTGTCCCCAAAGGAAAACTCTGGCCATATACAGATGGCACTGCCATCCCAGCCTCGCCAAGCTGTTGACTTCTTCTTGGCCTGTTTCACAGGTGTTTGTGGAAATGCCTCCAAGAAAGGAGAGGACAACACGGCCATTTCTGGCATCTCTACAGACATCCTGAGTGCCACTCACCAGGGCAGCTTGTCATCACACACACAAGACCAGGATAGAGACTCTGAGGCACAGGAAATGGTCCAGATGCAGAGGGCCATGCCCCAGCAGAGGCCTCAGCACTTGCCTCCACCAGTGAAGGTGACTGTCCTTTGGTTCATTTCCTAGATTTTAGAGTGCATCCCCCAAGTCCTATGCTCTCCATGTTCCCTGTCACTAGAGGTCACTCAGTCCCCTGACCCTCAGTCTTTTCATCTGTATAATGGAAGTAGGTGCTTGACCTGCATGGTTGTTGGGAGGAAGGGCTCCTGGCAGTGCCTGGGCCCTGGGCTCAGTGTTGGTGACCAGTGTCCTTCAGCACTAGCTAGAATGGTTACAGAGACAACACGAGGAAGTTAATGGCTATCTGGGCTGAGCACAGGCAATCAGACATCCCATCAGCTTGGCCTCTAACTGTCCCTAAGCTGGCAATTAGAGGCTCTGCTCTTGACCAAGAGCCTGACCAGGAAGAAAATTCAGCACTGTCCTGACAAACTGAGAGCACTGTACTTCAGGCCCAGCTCAGCTCTATCCTCACAGTTTCCTTTGAGTCCTTTATGGCCTGTAGACCATGCTCTAGTCTCTTCCATTTGCTTTGGGTCCCCTGTCACTGTCACTCATAGACTATATCACTCTCTGTTCCTGCAGACCCACAGCTGGAGACTGTAGTGGGGCACAAGTGGGGCTTATTGCTGCTCTGCATGGGCACCGGTTGGCTGTCCCTCTGCCAACAGCACAATTCCTCCCTGGCTCTGTGCCTGCCCCTGCTTATGCTGCTTATGCTTATACCACTAGGGTGGTCCCTGCCCCAGTGCTCACTGGCTTCTTGCTGGTCCCCAGAGCCTGCCAGTTCCTCTGAAGTTGGTTGGCATCTGCCTGACACAGAGGTCAGCAGAGCATGTAGGGCTGTTTGGTGCCTACTGTATGCCTGGTGATGCCCTGGGCACCCATGTGCTCTTAAGGGGGCGTCCTCCAAGCCCATGTACACCTGTCTAGCTGCCAGCACTTTACAGGTGCAGTGCCTGAGGTACAGGCCCAAAAGGGTCATGCCACAGTCTATAGGAAGTTTTGGGAGAACTGGGGTTGGGGTCCCAGCTGACACTTGCTTCCCAGGCCACTCCCTGTGAGGCTCCTTTGGATGACACAGGGCAGAGGGGGCCTCTGGGACTGTGCAAGCTGGCTCTGGGGCCAGCAGAGCGGCACACAGTGGCCATCCCACAGCACAGTGGCCGTGCTTGCATACTGCCAGACCCACATATTCTGGCCTCCCCTGGATCTCCTGGCCCGCTTTGTGCCCTGTAAGCTTCTGTGACAAGCTGAGTTTATGCTCTCACTTTTTGGGTCTCATCCTTGGTAGCTGTTTAAGTCTATGGATTTTGATGTTCAGACAAGATTCCTCACCTTGGAAGAGTTCCTGGGAGAACCAAGCCTGCATCTGCTCCCATACCAATCTCTCTGGAACCTCTTGTGTGGGGTTAATATTTTTTCAGTTTATTTCAGCTTGATTATTTTCCTGTGTATTAATAGTATTTTCTAACATGGACCAGAAAGCACTAAACAAAGGGGACAGATGGGACCCAAGACCCTTTTCCTAGGAAGAGGAGTCAGTGGAGCCTGAACAATGACCCGGGCATTCTCTGCCTTGAGCTGATGATCACTTGGCCTGGCATTCACAAGCTACCCTCCTCCTTCCCACCCTGAGCCTCAGCCACACCCAGCTTTACATTTCACTGTCCCCCTTCCTGGCTGCTTGTGCTTGTGTCCCTGAGCCTCCAGGCCATTGCATTCACACTTATTATCATGTGGCTAGGGGTTAATTTGCTGGCAGTCTCTTTGTTAAAAGTCTCTACCCTTGCTAGCCCTGTATCATTGCTGCCATCTCCCCAGAAATTTGCGTAGCACGCATGTCTTAGTCCATTCATGTTACTATAACAGAGTGCCACGGACTGGGGAAATGGTCAACAATAGATATGCATGTGGCTTATGTTTCTGGGAAGTCCAGGGTGCAGGGGCTGCATCTGCTATAGGCCTTCTTGCTGATAGTAGATGGCATCACATGGTGAGGAAGAGGGAAAAGGAGAAAAGGAAGAGGGGAACAGATGAGTTATCTCCTTTTACATATAACTCACTCTCAAAATACTATGTCTGTCATGCAGATTGTGCCTTCATAACCTAATGATCCGTTAAGGTCTCTCATGATGGTATTAACTGTCATGATTGACATTTAACTTCCACATGAGTCTGCAAGGGGACACTCAAACCACAGCAGCTTGGCACAGGGTAGGTGCTCAAGAAAAGCTGCTGCATGGTTGGATGAATGGATAAACAAATCATATATGGTCATTGCCACTATACCTAGCAAAACATGGAGTACATGATATGATCATTGTTCTCTGCCCTAAACATGCAACTATTTTATGCAAAGATCTAAGTAGGAACAGTGGAAAACCTTCTGAGGTTGTCTTTTGCCTCTGATGTGCATCATGCCCATATGTGGCTGGCACTCTTTATGGAGCTCCCAGAAAGTACATGGATAACTTCTATTCTAACGCCATGAGTGCACACAGCAGGGAACCTGCATTTATTGGGATCCTGCCATGCTTTGGGCCTAACTGAAGCCACACAGACAGGAGGGGATCAACCTGATAGCTCTTTGAATTGGGAAGTGGGTGTTGGAGAATCTGAGAGATTTGGATAAGATCACATGGTGTGGAGCTGCTGCAGCCAGAGGAGACTGCCTGCTGGCCAGCCTGGGAGCTTACACTGTTTCTAGATGTGGTATTGCCTGTTCCTGGGAGCAGGTAAGACTCAGAGGAATCTACTGTGCAGACAGAGCAGGCATCTCATGCTTCTTCTTTTCTGTTTGTTGTTTGGGGCAGGGCATTGGTTCTTCTTCCCCTCCATCACCTCTGAAAACCAACTCAGGTGAAATCTACTTTGTAGAACTGGTTAAAGAAGATGGGACGCTTGGATTCAGTGTGACGGTAAGAGTTAGCAGGGCTTGGAAAACAATTAAGGAGCCATCCTTCTGAAGCCTTGGTGGACTTTCCACCTTGATAAGGTGTGCATTGTATAGAAGTGGCATGTGGAAAGTGGGCGATCCCAGAAGGTCCATGGGAACCATCTGTGGAGAACGAGAGTTCAAAGACAGACTGGGAGACACAGGGCAACTTGAGGTTAGGGTGGGGGCAGACACCCAAGAGCTGCAACCATGGGAGGAGGCAGTGTGGGTGGAATTGGATGATGTGTCCTCACACGGATGGCAAACTGGAGTACACTGAGAAGATGGAGCTCCAAAGTCACAGCCAGAGTCAAGTAGGGTGTCCATAGTCATCCCAAGTGGATCACAGAAGAGCCTTATACTTGGTCCTCCAAGAGCAAGGTCAAAGTTCAGTGTGCAAGACCTCTGCCCAGATTGACCCTCTGCATTTGACTTCCGAGAGATACCTGGCAGACCCCTGATGAGGGATGTGGCCTATGTAACTGAGGTCACCCAAAGGTTTGGAAAATGGAGTGCACAAAGGTGGTTAGAACTCAGAGCCACTTGTTGGAGGGTGCTGCTCTAATTCCCAACCACTGAAACCTGTTACCTTGAGACCCTGGATAATGTCTGGGCTTCAGGAATGTCATTGTTGCATTTAATTGTTGATTGGAAAGAGAATTGAGCTTTCCAGCAAGTAAGGAAATGCTGAAAACTTCTGGAGGAAACCTAAAAGATGGTGGACATGCTTTGCTTTCTTACATGATAATGCTGTGCATCTAGACAGAGCAAGGACCCTGGGCTGTTGGGCGACCACATGCCACCAGGTTGTTAGCCAGTGATTTTTAAGAATAAGACCTTAAGAAAGAAGGCTTGTGAATCCACAGGGAATAAGCAGGCTGGTACCAAGGACAGTCACTTTATACTTGACTTGAGGTAACAGTCTGAAAAGACATCAAATGTAGCTATTTTTCATTTGAAATACTTGCTAAAATTTAGATTATTCATATATATATATATATATGTATATATATGCATATGCTAAAAAGTTGGTGATTTCCTTTGGCTGGCAAAAAAATCTTAGATTTTCTTTGGAGAAATTTAATTTCAGAAATAATTATGAAAAGCCTCGCCCAAATCCAAATAGCCATCAAGCAAATGAAAAACACTCAAACTCATGAGAAGCCACAGGAATATAAATCAAATTAAAACAAAACTTTATAACTATCAGCTTAGCCAAATATAGCTGATGGGATGCAGAAGAAAAAGGACTGTTGTACAAATCTGTTGGAAATGTGAATAATTACGTGCACATTCACATTGGGATACAATCTGGCAGCATTTATTATAATGAAAATGCACTTGTCCTTGAGCCCATAGAAATAGAAACAAGACTCCCAGTGTATGGGGAAAACTGTACATGTAAGATGTTTAATGCACTGTTATTTATAGTGGTAAAATACTGAGGGAAAATGGCTAGGACCAACCGAGGAAAGGCTGCATGTGGTACAGTACATGTATAAATAGTCACCAATCTGCTTTCATTTAAAATGAATGGGCACTCAGTCGAGCCACATGGAAAATTTTCCATGAGGCACCCACCAAGCAGGCCGAGAGAAGCGGAAGGCTGTGACTAGCAGGTCCCTTTCTGTACAACAGGTCACCTAGATGAGTGTGTACACATTTTTGTGCTTGTTAGTGAGAAACAAAGGTTACCAGCTAGTGGTCTGAGGTGAAGGTGTGTGACTGGTAAGAGAAAACGTTATCACCTCCTGCAAGGCTTTCCTAAACAGGAGCTACAAGCCCTAGACAGAAAGAGAACAGAAAAGGCAGAAGTCCCCTAGCAAGGTGAAAAGGAGACTTCAGATGTGCAGCTGCTCAGGAAGGGCGGTTGGGTGGCCTTGTGTGACAATTGACTGCCTTGAGCTTTTACATTAGTGATGCTGGAAGTCTAGTTCCAAAGTAGTCTTGGAGTCATTGAAAAAACACGTCCCCAGGCCTCAGAGTCTGGTTTAGTGAGCTTCCTATTACTAGAGCAAGTGCTGGAAACAATCAACTTGAAGAGAAAAGGTGATTATGGGCCAGAGCTTTAAAGGTTCAACCCATGACTGGTTGGCTCCATTTTGAGGGTGTGGGAGAAGGAAAAGGTAGCACAGCAGAAATGAGTGGGATAGGAGAGGAAGTGAGTTCCCACAATCCCCTTTGAGGGCACACCTACGAAGATCTAAAGACCTCCCCACATCCGAAGGTTTCACCACTTCCCCAAATCATCCATGCTAGGGACCAGGTCTTGCCACATGGACCTGTAGGGGACATTTCAGATCTAGACTATGACAGGGTTGTTCAGATGCCAGGTGTGTGATCATCATGAAGCTGAACCAGACTTTTTTTTTTCTTTTGGAAAATGACAATGATATTTTAATTCTTTTTTTTTTCTGATTAGTAGGACAGTTTCAATAATTAATGCATTGTATATTGTTGTCTTCATAGTGGTTATTCATAGTACAAGATGCAGATATGATATCCTATCCAAACACTATTAGTGCAAATTTTCCTTCTCATTGAATTAAGAGAAAGTAGCTGTGTATCCTAACTATTTTTTATATATGGATACAAAATGGTCCTTCATTTGTATCATTTCTGTATGACTGTGTGAGTATACAGAAACGTTAAAGAATTAAGATGTGTTAAGTCCATGCACTAACTTCTCACAGTGAATGTAGGCATGGACTGAAGACGTACTAATAAAAAGGATATAGATCCTAGATACTCAGTACCATTTATTAATATGTAATCCCCATCATGGGATTGCAAGAAGGCAGAAAATGGGTAAAGAGGAAGAAATTCAAAACTCATGCAGGAAGGCTGGAATGCCATTGATAAAGCATCCATCTACCTGTATGCCTACTAGTGAAAAGGAAATTAGAAGAGAAAACAGCCTTAGCTCTTGGTCTTTTATGTTCTTGCCATTCTTATTGGTAATCAATCTCAGGACCTTGTGCTTGCCAGGCAAGTACTTCTACCATGGAGCTATATCCCCAGCCCCACTCTTGGTCTTTTGCTCTGTAGGGTTTTCATGATCTATTAATATTAACATTAATCAATTATTCAATATCTATTAATATTAATAGATCATGATCTAGTTCACGATCTATTAAAAATGGTAAGTTGAAAATGCTGTGTAGTTTAATTCTGCTTTTATATTCAAATCTACTGACAAGCACATGTGCACACAAATGTGCCAGGCCTAGGCCTGAGGCCCATTGAAAATCTGCCTCCATGGGTTGCTACCTGAAGAAATTTGGTACATCCTGCATGACTGTGCTTACTAAGCACTTGGTGTGTACTAGTGCTTGGCTGGAGCTATGGCTGGGCTATGCTCCCTGCAAACACCTATCTTTATTGCTTGGTGATGGGTGCAGCCTACACAGGTGAATACAGTGTTGGATGGAGATGGGCAGAGCGAGAGCTGGGTACTGAAGCCCCTGCTGAGGGTATCATTCTAACCCACCTAGCAATGTGGCACACAGATACACAAGAAAGACAAAGAATTCTGCAGTTGAGGAGCTCAGGGATGACCCAATGGTCTCTCTGGAATAAAATGCTTTTTCTCCAAATGTTTGTGGCTTTTATTGGCATCTGCTAAGAAGGAGGGTGGGGACAGGGCAGAATGCATGGGGAAAAGAGACTTTGTAGCTGTACCGGGCACAGAGGTCTCGATTAGCACTGTACAGGTACTGTTGATGTATGCAAGGTCGGCACCTTTAATGCCAGGAATGTTTGTTTCAATACAGGCAGTTCTCTAATATGTCTCAGTAAGTAGGGCGGAGGAGAGGTCAAGGACAGGTTATGACCAGGTCTTTATTTCTCAGGAGATAGTAGGGTGATGGTCTCCCATAAATGCTGGTTAGAGGGGGGCTCCCTTTGTTAGGGAGTTTAGAGAGTTTGGGGTGATGATTAGTGAGCTTTCCCTCCTGTCTTTCAGGGTGGCATCAACACAACCGTGCTCCATGGAGGAATCTATGTGAAATCCATCATCCCTGGAGGCCCAGCAGCCAGGGAAGGGCAGATCCTGCAGGGTGAGAGATGGAGCTCTGCCAGGAGCTCTGTGCATCATGGCAGAAGGCTCTTGGGCTCCCTGGGGGGCCTTGGGCCCTGCCCCATCTTCTCTGAGACTCCTTGCAATCCATTGCCTCTCCAAAGCCTGTTCCCTCTCCCAGAAAGGGAGCATTTCACCTGCCCACCTCACCTGATACATTAGCAGGGTGTCTAAGGTTTGGGAAGGCAAATTGGGACACACAAAATGATATAAAATAGTAAAGTTACAGGCAGGCTCATGGGAGTGTTGCCTCCCTTAGAGGACAGAGCTGGCATTGGTCCCCTGCCGGGCAGCTGCTTTAGTATCTGAGGGGACACAGTAGCCTCTCCACTCTGTTTCATGTCTTTTTGCTCTGAAGGAAAATAGGGACTTTTATTGTTCTCCATATCAGCCAGGACCAACCCCAAAAAGGCACCTAGGTCTCATTATCTAGTTCATCATATCTCCATTTCCCCTTTAATTCTAGTGTCCTAAACATAAACCATGTTTCTCTGACCATTTTTGAAATAAAAAATC